TGGTGGGGCAGTTCCCCAAAACGCTTCTGCTCTGCCGCCCAGCTCTTCCTCTGGGCCTCCCCTCCTTCAAGGGCAGTCTCTGGCCAGAGCTCTGCTCCCAGATTCAGGACAGCCTTGGCAGACCGAGGCGCCTCCCTGGGCCTTCATTTCCACACCCTTATTAAATGTAGGCGGTGGATGAGAGGATAGTTCTTTCCACCCTTCAATGAATTCCATGCTCACTTTCTCGGGATCCCATAGGCTGTATGGCTAGGGTAGTTATTTCATCTTAAGTTATTAACTAACAAATTCGTTTATTTATTTTTAATAGAGACGGAGGTCTAACGATGTTGCCCAGGCTGGTCTCAAATGCCTGGACTCAAGCAATCCTTCCGCCTGGGCCTCCCAAAGCTCTGGGATTACAGGTGGGAGCCAGTGCTGGGCCAATTAATACTTTTTTTTTTCTGAGTCGGTGTCTCACTCTGTTGCCCAGGCTGGATGGAATACAGTGGCACCATCACAGTTTACCACAGCCTCTACCTCCAGGGCTCAGGCCATCCTTCCACCTCTACCTCTTGAGTAGCTGGGACTACAGACACACACCATTATGCCTGACTAATTTTTAAAATGTGTATTTTAGTAGAGACAAGCTCTCACTAGGTGCCCAGGCTGGTCTCAAACTCTTGGTCTCAAGTGCTCCTCATGTCTCAGCCTCCCAAACTGCAGGGATTACAAACATAAACCACACACCTAGCCACTTAACACATTTTTGAGACAGGTGCTCTTGAGTGTCTGTGTGGGTCTGAAATAACTTATATGAACACTCAGGAAGTTCAGAGATGACCAATTTCCTACAAATGCCAAAACTGGGGGCCAGATATAACAGTGAGTTATGACTTCTCCTATCCTTCTGTAAAAAACTGAAGAGTTGAAGGACCTGCATTGATGACCAGTTAGTTTACTAGGCTCTAAAAAACCAGATTTAAGATTTCTTCCTTGCTGTCCTAGAAAAGTAAAAGTCAGTAAAATCCCAGCACTTTGGAAGCCCAAGATGAAACGATTGCTGAGCCCACAGGTTCGAGACCAGCCTGAGCAATTTGGCAAGACCTCATCTCTACAATAAATCAAGAAAAATTAGACAAACTTGGTGATGCGCACCTGTAGTTCCAGCTACTTGGAAGGCTGAGATGGAAGGATTGCCTGAGCCCAGCAGGTCGAGGCCACAATGACTGTGAGCATGCCACTGCACTCTAGCCTGGGCGATAGAGTGAGACTCTGACTTCAAAAAAAAAAAAATGTCTTTCAGGCTGGCTGTGGTGGCTCACGCCTGTAATCCCAGCCCTTTGGGAGGCTGAGGTGGGAGGATTGTTTGAGCCCAGGAATTTGAGGCCAGTCTGTGCAAGATAGTGAGACCCTGTCTCCACAGAAAAGACTTAAACATTAGCTGCTTATAGTGGTACACACCTGTGATCCCAGCTACTTGGGAGGCTGAGGAGGGAGGATCGCCGAGCCTGGGAGGTTGAGGCTGCAGTGAGCCAGGATTGTGCCACTGTACTCCAGCCTGGGCAGCAGAGTGTTCATAACTTATGTGAACACTCAGGAAGTTCAGAGACGACCAATTTCCTACAAATGCCAAAACTGGGAGCCAGATATAACAGTGAGTTACGACTTCTCCTGTCCTTCTGTAACAAATTGAAGAGTTGAAGGACCTGCATTGATGACCAGTTAGTCTTAGAACATCATCCAAACTCCTCATGACGTGGGAAGGACTCTTGCCTGCCGCCCCACGCTCAGTCCATGCCATTTTCCCTCTTTCCCTCCCAGAACTCCACCCACACAGGCTTCCTCTCCTCTCAGATGAGGCCTCCTTTGCCTGGATGCTCTTCCCCCAGCCCTGCCCGACTGGCTCCTACTCATCTTTCACTTCCTCCGGGTGGCCTCTCTTGACTTGTGACCTCACTATACATGTGGTGCTTTCCGGTCACGTATTTGTCACAATTTGTAGTTGTATATCATCTGTGGGATTGTCTCTGTCCCCTAACACGGGGACAGTCTATGTAATCACTGCTTGCTGCTGTTCGTAGATGGCCTTTTCTGCCATCATTCATTCCCCTTTCTCCCTGTGGTAGAACCCTTGTTCTGTGCAAGTCTCCAGTCGACTGAGGCCTCATGCTCCAAAGGACTGGAGCCCCAGCACTGCCCCAGGGAGTAGCGTTCTGAATGGTTTAGGCACAAGCATGAGATGGAATTCTGGTCAATGAGACGTTAGGGAAAGTCTGCTGAGGATTTCTGGAAAATATTTTTTTCCTCGCAGATAAAAAAAGACACATGAGGAGAGACAGTGCTGTTTCTCCACTGGATAGGATTATGAAGACACACCTGGAACAATGGCAGCTATCTGATGACCATGAGGAGAGTTAGCTAAGAACAGGCCATTGTCCTGAGGAAAAAAGAATGGAGAAATAAAAAGAATCCAGATCCCTAACTATGTTGGTGAGATGTGTTACATTGTCTATTTTCTACAAATCTTGAAGCTTACCCACCTCAGGACTTCTTCTTTGGTCAGATAATAAGTTTGTTTATTGTTTACATGATTTGAATGTCTTTTTGTTTTTGTTTTTTTGAGTTGGAGCCTCACTCCATCGCCCAGGCTGGGGTGTAGTGGCACGCTCATGGCCACCCCAGTGACGACCTGTGGGGCTCCGGTGATCCTTCCACCTCAGCCTTCCAAGTAGCCGGAACTACAGGCACATGCTACGCCGCTCAGCTAATTTTTGATTTTATTGTAGAGACAAGATCTGCCAAGTTGCCTGGGCTGGTCTCACACCCACAGACTCAGGCAATCCAGTCATCTCAGCCTCCCAAATTGCTGGGATTACAAGCTGAGCCACCGAACCTGGCCTTGAATGGCTTTTTAAAAATCAGTTATAGTTTAAAACGTTCTGATAGACACACCATTGTACTCTCAGTAGTCAGCACGGTACTTGGCATACAGGAGGTGTTCAATAAACATTACTTTTTAAATACACTGTGTGGAAGCATTGGTTGGATAACTACAAGTTTCAGTTCAACGTCTTCAAAATTATTATAAAATTCTAAATAAGCAAGATTTACTAACAGATGACAAACTCTTGTTGCAGGTATTCATTCAGCTAAAAGCTGAGAACATTCCCAAGACCTCCCTTTTTCTCGGAGGAAGGAGGAGCCTATAGACTCAAAATAAAACTCATTACTCCTTGGCACTCAACTAATGCCTCATCCCATCTTCCAAGTTTTGTGTCCTGTTGCTCTTTCCCTGTTTCTGGCACATGTGGCTTCCTGCTTGTGCTCCTCAAAGGATGGAGCCACATCTGGGTTGTCCTTCAGTCTTCTACCACACTTAGCATGGTTCCGGGCACATGGCGGGTGCCCTACAAATACTTGCTAGTTGATTAAATGACCAAAGATGAGAAAATTATTTGTTAAATTTTTTTCTTTCACTTAACAACCTGAATCCTGCTCGAAAGAAATCTAATTATATCACTTGTCAGTATCACATTGGTTGCATAAAGTGGGGAGAAGTATATAACTGCCATATTCTACTGACTAGAAGCAAGTTACAGCCTTCTCCCATTCAAGAGAAGGGATTCTCAAAGGCAGGGATCTTTGGGGGTCATCTTAGAGTTCTGCCTGCCACAACTACATAGCTCCCATCTTCTTTCCTGACTCAGCAGCTAGGTGAGTTATTTCTGCCTTGTACAGTCAGAGAACTCTCTCTCTATCTCTCCTAGTGCGTGTTCAACCACACGTGATTGTAATTACTTGTTTCAGTGACTATTTCCCAAGTAGACGATAAATTCCAGGAGGACAGGACCCATATTCCATTTTTCCACTGCATCTTTTGTGCCTGTCACATGGTAGATTCTTAAAATACATGTCAAATATTGATGCTGTGGAAGGTGCTATTAAAGTCAGTGTGATTATTTAATTTGACTGGCTACATATATCTGTCCTATCATTTTCGATCAAAAGGAAGGCATATGTAGTGCCTATTCATTTAAAGAACCTTCACATTATGTACACTAGAAATTAGTGTCTTTTTTAATCTTTATGTCACACAACATTTCTTTTTTTTTTTTATTAGTAGGATTCTCACTCTGTCACCTAGGCTGGAGTGCAGTGGCACACTCACAGCCACCACAGTCTCGACCTGCTGGGCTCAGGTGATCCTCTACCTCAGCCTTCCAAGTAGCTGGAACCACTGGTTAGTTTTTTTATTTATCGTAGGGACGACATCTCGCCAAGTTGCCCAGGTTGATCTCGAACCTCTAGACTGAGGCAATTCTCTCACCTCTGCTTCCCAAAGTCCTGGGATTATAGGCATAAAGCATTGCACACAGCTGCCACACAACTTTCAGCACCTACATAGGTGTGGGCACTCAGTAAAAGTGCAATGAATGAATGGATGGATGGATGAATGAATGAATACTATGATGATGAAAGCTCTGCACCCTGAGTGGGGCAAGTAAATATGCTGGTCTTTACTATAAAATTCTCCTTTGGCTTTTTTTTTTGGAAGATCTGAATCCTGCCCATCAATCAAAACTCAACTTAAACTCATCTCCTACATGAAATCTTTCCTGACCTAAATTAGTCTCAGTGGTTTTCCTTTCTCTGAATTCCTACAGCATTTTATAATCAAACCCCAGAACACAAGCGCTCTATGTTACATGATCTATTTTCTACCTTGTCTGTCCAGCTTAGCTATAAGCTCTTTGAGGGATAGGGAGTATGCCTTCTATTTCTTTACATTTTCCATAGAACCTGAGAGTTTATGTCTTCCATCAAAGACTTAATAAATGTGTGGTGATCTGGCTTGATTCTAGCTTTTTCAATCCTGTATTTTCTTTCCAGAGTACTCATTCACTAAATGCTACCTAGTCACAGAGCCAGGGAACTAACTTTCTTTTCTTCCTTTCTTCCTTCCTTCCCTCCCTCCCACCTTTCTTTCTTTCTTTCT